TTGATGCTTTCCCCAGACTTTTCCTCTGGCTCTCTTGTCAGATTTGTCTGGATGGAGCTGGACAAGGGTGGGCTTGGATGGGATACGGGGAAGGAATCCTTCCCTGTGAGGGTGGGGGGGCCCTGGCACAGGTTGCCCAGAGAAGCTGTGGCTGCCCCTGGATCCCTGGAAGTGTCCAAGGGCAGGTTGGATCAAAGGAACAGCCTGGGACAGTGGAAGGTGTCCCTGCCCATGGCAGGGGGTAGAATGACAGCCTGGGACAGTGGAAGGTGTCCCTGCCCATGGCAGGGGGTAGAATGAGATGCCCTTTAAGCTCCTTCCACCCCAAACCAGACTGCGATTCTCTGATGCTCTTTGCAGACCAAGGGTTTGATTTATCCTCATGATTCCAAGTACCCCCCCCCCCCATTAAACCTGCACTAATGTAACTATTGGATATTTCCAGATTATTTTTAACTACTAATCCAGTTTCTCATTGTTTGTTGTGGAAACCAGTGATATGTTTATTGAGATTAAGCATAAACCCTTATGAATCCTGTCCAAATGAAAGCTGTGGGAAAATACTGGAATCCATTATTTGCCAAAGGAACAGAGCAGTCTGATATATTATGTCTCGTGTATATTTGGTGTTTTCCTCTTGTTCCAGTGGAATGTTCTGTAGTAACTGGATATGACATTACTGTCTGCCCCAGCCCAAAGGCAGGCACAATTATGTTTAACATCTGGATGAATTAGACTGAAAACAGACATCCTCTGGTAAGGAATAGTTTCTGTTTCCTCTGTCAAAATAAGAAAGTTAAAGAGCTAATGGATTTTTTAAAATATCAAGTCATTGATTAATATGACTTCATAATCCTTAATTTGTCTATGAGAAAATGAAAGTATTGTTTGCTAATGATATTTTAGACTGGGAATGTGCTTTGAAAGAATGGAAAAGTTCCATGATTTACTGAGGGTAGTAAGGTATTAAAAAAATCAATTTGTAGTTAGGAGGAGTAGTGAGGACATGAGGGAGCTGGGTCCTGCTCCTATTCTCTGGGAGGATCTGGGTGAGCCAAACTGACCTCTGGGAAGGTCTCTCTGGTAGGACTCTCTGTGCAATGTTTTACCCGTAGCTATTCCCTAGATGGGAATGACTTTGGGAATACAGTGAAGGGAATGTGTTTCTGTATCATTCATGAAGTTCATAGCACACAGTCTATAGCTGGCCAAGCTCAGCAAAAAGCTGCTCAGTACATTTAAGGAGCAGAGAATGAATTGTTTGATCCATCTTTATTACATCTAAAAGCCATAATCTAAATATCCGCACACAGATTTATTTATATAAATAAATATATATATAATCCCGCTTTATTAAGGCAAACAAAACGTTGCTCCTTGCCCAGCCAGTGCCTCTGGATCCATCCTTGTCCAAAACTGGAGCTGCAGCAGGAATGTTTGCTCCCATGGCAGGTTTGTCTGTGGAAAACATCACTACAGCCTGAGGAACTGGACTCTGCAGTCTGTGCTGTCAGGGCCTGGGCTGCAGTGGCAGAGACATCCACAAAGCTGCTGGGAATGGTTTTATACTGTGGCACAAGAAACCACGTGTAGCTGCCAGAAAACCACAGTTCTTCAGAGATGAGATGACTTTGTGGCATTTTCCAGCCTGACAACTGTCACTCATAAACCTGAGTGAGCATCAGCTCTCCCAGAGTTCTGATAAAACTGGGAAAGGCAAGTTCTGATCTCTGCAGCGCTGGGAATACGCTGGGTCTGGGATGTGTGGCAGCTGGTGGAGCTGTCTGTAATGAACACTTGGATTTTGTTAATTACAGGCTGTTAATCATGGATATGTTGTTAAAACTCTGCTTGCACAGATTGCTAACCAACTTCTACCAACTCACAGGGTTCTGGACTCAAACTGCACATCAGTGCAAGGAGATGTTGAACTGGATTTCACCTGTTTAGGGTCTGACTTGCTGCCTAAGCTGTGGGCAGCTCAGTGCAGCAGGTCAGAGGGACTTGGAGAATTTTCTTTTTCTCTGATGTTTCTTGGATGGCCTTGCTGGCAAGCACTCAACAGGTAGAAATGAGAAAACATCTTCATTATATGTATTATTTATTCTATTAATTAATATCTATATTAATTCTAAAGGCATACATTTAAAAATCAGCAATGTCATTAGGTTTTTTTCTTTTTGATTTTGAGTACCTTAGAGCCTGTAAGTCTTTAAAGCCCTTGGATATTTGTGGGTGTTCTTGTAGCCTGCAAAAGCAGTATGGGGTTATATTTATGGCATCAAATGAACTTGATTAGATTGAAAAAAGAGAAAAGGAAAATTATGATGAGCTAAGAAGGGGTGAAATGGAAACGGTTGGAAAGAAATAAATACGTTTGGGATGAAACTGTGATTTCTGGAGAAAGCAGTTTTGAGAAGCACAGAGGTAGAAACAAAAATAAGTGTTTGGTGCTGTTTACTAGATTAGAGACTAATGCCGATGGAAGCCAAGAGAAATTTTTGAGGCTGAATAAGGGAAGTCAGGGAATTGGAGGACAATGGGAGGTATGTGGTGGGTGACTGCTCTCATTAAAGGGTCAGGCTCTGGTGGGTGCCCAGGAAAAGTCTCTCACAGGGCTGTGAGGAATTGCCAAACCTGATCTTCCTCATTAAAACCTTGGCCAGAGACCAGACCATGGCTCCTGGGTCCAAAAGTATTTCATTTGGGCCTCAGCTCTTCCTCAGCCCAGTGGGAATGACAGGGAAGTGCCTGTGGCCAGCAGGGAGGTGTCACCCCCTGACATGGGGACACGGGGAAGGGACAGGATGGACCAGTGCTGGCACTGGGGCTCCAGCAAAGCTTCCAGTCAGTCAGGATCCCTTCTTGACACACACACTGTATCCTTGCAGCCATTAGCTACCTACATGAGTTCTGGAAATTGCATTGAATGAGAAATTTGGGGTTTAGAGTCTTCAGAAACCTTAGTAAGAAAACCACAGATTAGCAGAACGTGTGTTTTTCCAGTTGTCTAAAGGGGATGTCATCTGCTGTGCTTGGCTTCCTGTTTGAAACCTAAAGCTGAAAGTCCAAGGGGACAAAATTGTTGATTATAAGCTAGAAAAAAATAATAAAGGGAAAATATCTATTAAAAAAAAAAAAAGGTAGCTAAGAGAGAAACAGGGGCTTTTATGGTGCTGAAAATCATGGTGATCAGCCAGACACACTCTCTGGATGTGGTGTCCTTCCACTTCTCTCACCCTGTCAATAGTCATGTCAAAGTGATGGAATCTGAAGACTTCAGACATTTGTCTGGAATTTTTGGATCTCTCACAGTCTGGTCAAAGGAGCAGCTCTTATTTCCGGACGTCTCATGTCTCAGAGATGCAGTCACTGCATCCATGTTCTGCATGGGCATCAAGGTCTGTCCGGGAAGATCAGGATGGAGATCTGGGAACCTGTGCCAGATCATCAACCCATGACCTGCTGAGGGTTTCTGAGATACCAGAGACTGGACCTGACTTCCCCAGGATTTTGGACTCTCTAGGCTGCCCTGGGACAGCCCATGGGATCATCTGCTGACACCAGAGTCTCTCAGGTGATCTTTGGGGAGCAGATGGATCAGGTGCTGCAGCCTGTGCAACTGGCTGGAATCTGGAGAATGTCAGCTAATATTTACATCAGGTGTTTACCCTTGGATAAGGAACAGGTCATTCACAGGCATGAACATGACATGATGTTGGTAGGTTGGTCACAGTGTTTGCTTTGCATTTTGCACACTTGTCGCTCTCCTTGAGAACAGTTGTTGTGGTTTGATCTGGATCAGTAGCTGTGGTTTTCCCCTTTATTGTCATGGAGCCATTTGTTTAAAAAGGGCAGTTCTACGGAAAGAGAGCTATGAAGGTTTGAACTTTGCTTGTCTTTATAAAGAAAATGCTCATTCTTGCTTCCCTGACAGAAAGGTGGTGTTGGTAATTCCAGGGACCTGCACAAGGACACAAACATAGTGTGTGGAGTGTGTTTGGTGCCAGGGGTTGTTTTTCCTGGGTTGCTGAGAATAAATCAGACACTTCATAAAGAGATTAGCTGTGTTTCTAAAGGGTGATGGCTTGTTTGAGCAAGCATTGTGTGTAACTCAGGTGAGTTATGGATCAATTCTGGCACCTAGCACAGTCTAAATGAGGTCAAACAAGACCAAAGTGTAAGTAGAAGAAATCCTGCCCTTAAAAGACAGGTAACTTGTTAACTGACTGCAGTCTGGAGTCACTGTTTTTTCTCTGTACAGTTAATTTGCCAGAGACACAAGGCTTTGACCTTCTAAGTTGGTTGCAAAGAATTCCAGGTTGTGCAATGCAAACCACCTTTCCTGAGAACAGAAGAGGTTGATGTGGTGACTTGTATTTAACAGAGGTCTGTGAGGGACTGGAAACTTCAGCAGGGCACAAATTGGTTCTCAACACTTGGGGTCTGTTTGATAGTGTTTGGGTGAAGAGTTTTTAATGCCAGCACTGGTGTCTGAACTGAGAAATTGTACAGCACGAGCTGCACTGTGGGAACTTCCTGGCATTGCCTTGCCACTACTATTTTGTCTTGTTTTTTCTATCATTATTATGGTGGAAACTTGGAACAAATATTGTTTTGAGACATAAGACATCGTTATCTCAGCCCAGAGTCAGCCCAGCCTCGTGCACAGTGTCCTCTGTCCTCTGGGTTTTGTCCTTCCTCAGCCATCAGGGAAGCACTGGGCAGGTCCCATTCCCCACAGAGCCCCTGTTTCTCCTCTGTGTGTTCATCTCACCTCTCTGGTTGGTCAGATGGATAAAGCAAAGAGGGTGTGCTTTATATTTGCAAACTGCTTCACACAGAGGGCTGTGCTCTGTGTGGGTCCCCGGGGCAGTACTGGGGTAAATATAATAACCCAGTGAATGGAAGTCAACACAAGTGTTGATACACTTCCCTTCATCTTCCACTGGGTTTGGTTCTGAGAGACTTTAATTTAACATTTTTCTTCTTGCTTTCAGTGGTTTACAATGAAAATATTGCAAGCCTGTCTGGAATGTGCACGTTGTATTCCAGCCTTGCCAGAGCATTTCTGAGGCCCAGAGACAGTCCCTGAGGGAGCTCTGCCACCTCCCAGCTGAGAACAATAATGTTATTGTTTTTGTCAGGTGAGTTGTAAGTGCATTAATGTTTTTCTCTTACATGGCAAAGAGAAGGCAGTTTTCACATAGTTCTTTAAACACATTGAGATCAAGATTCTGCTGCCAAGGTTTAGGAAATATCTTCTCCAAAAGAAATATGTGTTTCAGTGTCAGTCAGAGGTCCTTGCCTTCGTCTTCAAAAATACTGAAATTATATTTCCTCTTATTTCTGGTACCACCTGAGTCAAAAATTCTTCACTGTATTGCCAAATTCACTGTAAATCACAATCAGGAGATTGAAATAAGGAGGAAAAAGAGATGTTGGGAATCATTGGAATAGGAAACCAGAAGAGAACTTTCACTGATAGACATAAACCAAACCACAACTGCTATTTCTACACGTTGCTGTGAAAAGTTAGAGCCAAATTCTCATTGTAAATCAGGGTGGCTCCATTAACTTCTGTGGATCTGTGCCAGCACATCCCAGACAAAGGCTTGGCTCTATTTATAGCACTGTCAGGAACAGAACTGCTTGGAGAGATTCCACTGGGAGAAAAATTTGATTGAAACAAGGCAGATAAGAATGACAGAGGAATCTGCCTTCTGGGTCTGTTGTGGAATGTGGCTCCCATGGGGTTTGATCCCGGGGCCCTTCCCAGCCCCTGCAGGTCCTGCTGAGCATTCCCAGCCCGGGGTGGCTGGTGGGACAGACCCCCAGGGCACTGTGTGTGCCCAGGGTGGTGGAACTGTGGCACAGTTGGAGTCTGCAGGGAATGGCAGGGTGACCTTCACCTGCTTTTTTAGCTCTGTGGCTTCAGAAAATCCAGGGTGTCCCTTTCACCAGGTACCTAAGGTTTTTATTTCCTTAAAGTCCTTAATGTGCCATGGTGACAAGGATGGGGAATGTCATCATCAGCCATTGATCCTTTATGTTTCCTGTGTGACCCAGTTACTCAGGGACACACAAGGAAATTTCGCAGCTGTGGTTTAGATAATCTATAAAGAGGGAGAGAACTTCTCCAGGCATCCTTGAGCTGATTTCTTACTGAAATTTCAAAAAAAGCCCAGTAGAAATTCCCACTGTGTGGTGTTAGGCTGTTTTCAGTTCCCAGAAACTAGTTAATTTATTTAGTGTGTCTCACCAGTCCAAGTTTCATTTATAGATTAACTTGTGTGTTTTGGCTCCTATCCATCTCTTGCTTTGGCTCAAAATGAATGATACCAGGACTGTCTTTGAAACAAGGCAGGAATGTGAAGTTTTTTGATTAAAGAGCAACATCACCCCTCAAACCTCTCTTTCTGCCAGCTTTGTGAGGCCCTGCCACAGAAATATGATATTGGAAATGGCAGATTAGGGTCTGGTGAGTTCAACCTTTGTGAAGAAATCAGACATGTAATATTCTGGAGGGCTCTGGAAAGAATTTGTGTCTCCTCAGAAGGCCTGTCACTGGAGCAGCTTGTTTTCAAGACTGTTCGTTTGCTTTATTTAATAACTAATCAGTCTTTAGAGCTAGTTTAAATGAGAATTACTAAACTAAGTCACTTGCCAGCACCCATCTGGTGCCAGGTTCAGTCTTTTCTGAGGGGCCCGTGCTGCCTGTGTGTCAGGGGGGTTGAAGCTGACAGAGGGGGTCACACTGTTGGCGGGAGCATCTCCTGTGTGTCTTCTGCTGGCCCCTTGAGGGGCTGCTTGTGGAGATCCATTTGTGAAGTAAACCTGGGGGCACCTTGCACAGCCACCAGAGGAACTGTCAAGTGCTGCTGATGAACATGGGCTGTCTTCCAGACTCTGCAAAAGTGGTGTATTTGTTGTACATGAACTCTGAGCTGGTGCTTCTTTCTAGTCCATTTGCTATGTTTGCAGGGGGGTTTCTGGCTGCAGCCAGAAATATTTGACTGTCTTAAAAGCTGTGACTTTTCACTGACGTCAGGATGTCTCATCAAGATGCTCTCTCAGCCTCAAGGCACTTTCTTTAAGCCTCTGAGGAAAAGTGCAATGAGAATCCTCCCACTGACTTTTTCATGTTTCTCTTTCTTTTTAGGATCTTCTAGGTATTATTGGAATGTGATACAGAGAAAAATGTTCTTTTCTAATGACTCAGTTGTGGGCTTTTAATCAGCCTTGGATTTCTGGGAATGCTACAATATGGCTTCAGTTGGGAATGAGATAGAAAGGTGGACTCACAGGCAAGGTGGCAGAAGTGGGGAGCTGGCAGAGCCTGTGATCTCCCCTGACAATGCTCATCATCTGTCGCCAGTGATGTCGATGGGCAGCACAGACCATGCCCTGCACCTCCCTGGGAGGGCAGACTCTGCCTACAGCTCCTTCTCAGGGGGCTCCAACGTGCCAGAGCGTCCCACCCGCCCCTGCTGTGGGGAGTGTTGTCCTTTGCCCCCGGAGCAGGCACCGTACATGGACTCGGAGTACGTCAGGGGAATTTATGCTCTCAGTGCTGCCCCCTCTGACCTCAGGTCCCTGCAGCCACACAAGGCACCAGCCCCGAGCATCCATCCCAGCTCTCCCAGCCTCCCTGACCGCTGTGGAACTGATCCCACCAGAGGGACTTTAACTCAGGGACCTCCACCTCTGGCAGCACCTCCACCTTCCCCTCCCACACGACTCGACAGCTACAACATCACCAGACACCGGGACAATTCCAGAGGGGGACACAGCTCTGGAGGACACGGTGGGTGTAAGGTGCAGCCAGCTCCTGGAGTGCAGGACAGTCAGCTGGCACACAGGGATGTGCCAGGGAGCCAACACTGGGATGAACTCACAGAGCGAGACATCAGACCTGCCAGGGAAAAGACTCTGGAAAACAAGGGCCTTTCTTCTGATTCTACAAATGAGGCATCTGTATCAAACATTCAGGGGTTAAAGACAGGGGGAAATGGAGAGTGGAGCCCACCCCAACAACCTACAAAGAGAAGCAATTCACACATTTGCAGCAGACCTTCTTCATTCATTTTTCAAGAATATTTAAAGACAGACTCTGTGGCAAATGTGCCCAAAATACTTTCTGCTTATAATTCAGTTCATGGTTATAAAATTCCCACTGAGATGAACTCCAAGTCCTACCACCCAGCACATTCCAACCCCAATGCTGTTAATGATACACAGGAAGTCAAACAGTGTCCCTGTGGGGTGCAGAATCCAACTGCCAAAGCAGCTCTGCCAAGCACTGTGCCAGGACCCAGCCAGAAAAAGGGGCCCTTGCCCCATGCTCAGGACCTGCCCTGTGCAGAGTGGCATCCAGACATGGACCAGGATGTGTTTGAGGACAGCTGTGACTTACAATATATGGAGAATGCTCTCCCAATAAAAAATGCTTCCAGGAAGCTGAACAGTTGTACAGACAAAAATCAGTGCTATGATTCGGAAGGGAAAACTGGGAGAGGTGTCAGGGAGCCAGTCCTGGATCAGCAAGCCAGAGTGCAGAGGCCACTGGGGTGCTGCAGCTGCGAGGCTGTGGGAGCAGAGCACCCTCAGCACAAGGGGCTGGATCAGGGAAGGAAGCAGTGCTGTGATACCAGCAGCCAAATGGCTTTTTTCAGACCAAAGGAAGATTCCACATCTCGCTTAGTATGTGAATCCCAGGAAGGAAAACAGGATAATAACAGCAATCCCAGCCTCAGCACGTGCCTGGAACAAGAGGATCCTCCTGTTCAGAAACACCACCCTGGATTTCAAACCCAGCTCTCCAGACAGCTTTGGGAGGACCGTGCTGGTGAACAGATAACCAGGCAGATGACCCCCATGCTTTACTACCTTTCCGGGGGGACACCCAGCAGTGTCCCACAGCCCACCAAGCTCTCCCACAGCCAGGAAGACTCCAGGAGGTCACTGAGGGAAATCCCTTCAGGCGGCTGTGCTGCCTCAGCACAGGGTGTGGAGAAGCCAAGGGAGAGCCCTCAGTGTGCAGGGCCCAGCCAGCACCCCCGGGGCAGTGCTGAGCTCCAGAGCCCGGATCCCACCCTCGGGGGCCCTGCCTCATTCACAGAGGAGAGCTTCCAGAATGACTACAGAGAGAAACTTAAAGTGGCTCAGAAAAAGGTTCTTAGAGAAACCTCCTTTAAGAGAAAAGACTTACAGATGAGTTTGCCTGTCAGACTGAGACAGAAACCCTCTAAAAGGCCGTCAATTGAACACCTTCGGTCTTTCTCGTTATCCAGTGCAAACGAGGATCCCAAACCTGTTCTTTGCTCCCCTTCTCATCTAGAATCCCTGGAAAGTTTCAATAAAGATGAAGAAATACAGAAGCCACAAGCAGGTCGAGTAGGGGCAAGGAAAAGGGTAACCAAAGAGGAAAAGAAACTGTGCTATTCTGAGCCTGAGAAGCTCGATCAGCTAATGGATAAGGAAGCATCCTGGAGTCAAGTTAAGGATGAAATCACTGAGCAAGATATAGTGGCAGCCAGGAGAAGGGCTCTGGAGAATGGAGAAAGGGCACTTTCCAGTTCCAGCATCTCCAGGACAGAGCTGAAACAAATCCAGCAGATTGCACTGATGGAATACGTGGAGCGAAAGATCAGCCAAAGGCCAGGGGGTTCACAGCACCTCCCACTGCATAAGCCACCCCTGCAGAAGAGGCTGTCACATCCCAAAGGGCCTCCTGGCAAGATTTCCAACCCCAGTGGGAGCAGGAAGATGCAAAATGATGAGGTTTTCCACCAAGTTTTCCCCAGAGAAAAATCGCCCGATGTTTTTCCTGCCTTGGCTCTCGCAGCCCCGCCGGGTGTGAGCGGCAGGGCTGACCCCGGCAGGGCTGACCCCGGCAGGGCTGACCCCGGCAGGGCTGACCCCGGCAGGGCTGACCCCGGCAGGGCTGACCCCAACAGAGCACACGGGACCTGCACCAGCACCTGTCCTGCAGCTGAAAGGCTCCCACAGGCAGGTGATCCTGCATCGGGGAGAGCTCCTGACGGATCAAAATCTGCTCCTCCTTCCCCTCGGGTAAGACAGAGATCCAGCACCTGAAGGGGCCCTATGGGAAAGTCAGAGAGGGACTTTATGCTTCTTACAAGGACGTGGAGTGGCAGGAATAGAGGGAGAAAGGCTTCAAACTGACTGAGGGCAGAGTTAAATTAGAGGCTGGGAATAAAATCTTCCCTGTGAGGGTGGTGAGGCCCTGGCACAGATTGTCCAGGAGGCTGTGGATGCCCCGTCCCTGGAAGTGTGCACATGAGTAAGTTAAAGAGCTGCCTCTCCTGCAGTGCCCGTTGTCCCAGTGTGCTGTTTTCCCTTCCAGGACATGTGCAGATGTACCAGTGGTGCAGCAGCACCGTCCCAGAGCTGTGAGGGCTGTGCCAGCTCCCCCAGGTAAGGCTGTGAAGTGTGACAGCCATGGCTGGCTGCTCCTGTCCTTCTCTCTCGGGATCCTTCCTTGTCCATATGGAAGTATTGCCCATTTGGGACAGTCTTTAAAACCACTTCCACCGTGTGAAGCACAAGCTGGGAGTGCCGGGTGCCCCTGAGCCGCTATCCCTGCACAGTCAGATCTCTGGGATCACAGCTCCCTCACCCGAGCTCCAGAGAAAACAGCATCTCCAACAGCTCGGGTGTGCCCAGGCCTGGAAAGAGTGTGTGATCAGCGTGGTGTGACAGGGGCTTTGGGTGTGCTTTTTGAAAGGAAAAAAAAATACTGTGCCGTTTACACCTCACTAACTGAGAAGTTTGCATTTTAACTCTCCATATTTGCTTTGCTGGTCTGAGGAGCATCAGAGGAGAAAACCATCTGAACTCTGTCTCAGCAAGGCAGTGATGCTGATTCTTGTGTAGTAAAAGAATTTCCACTGTTTCAGTCATTCAAAAATATCCCAATGGTTTCTGGAGGCTTGATTATGTTAGGAAAAAAATTGTATTTTTAGCAATATTTTGAAGTTTTTCTTAAATTTCCTAGTTTAGCAGTAAATTTCCAGTTCCTTGCATGCTGACTAGGAAGTTCCAGACAGAACTGTAACATCAGAAACATTTGATCATAGCTCATAAACAGTCTGCAAAAGTATCTATCGAAGAGGGAATGTCTCACATAAAAGGCACTGTGTTCTTTCTTATAGTTTCCATGATCCTGAGAAAGATGGATCCAAGAATCATGGACATAATGGCATAACTGGACATGCATGTTTTCAGGATACTAAGGAGCTGGTTCCTGAAACCTCTGTTCCTATCCCAAGAAGGGGAAGCAAGGAAGGTGCTGGAGTGGAGGAGGAATGCAGAACTCAGTGTCCGAGTGGGAATGCTGCACTAAAGCATCCAGGGCAGCATCCTGCAGCTCCTGCAGAGCAGGGGATGTGCCCCCCCCCAGCACTGGCTCAGCCTCTCCAAGGAGACAGAAGTGCAGCCACAGGTTCAGCTGCACAGGAGGATGTTCCCCTGGAGACAGGGACACGCCTGCCCAGGAGGAGGCTGCAGCCTCCGCACCACCAGCGGGACCAGGAACTTGCTCTGGAGATCGTGGCCAAAGACAAGTCTCTGGTGGACATTCTCATGCCTCATCCTGACAGAAAAACTGCTTTGGACCTGATGGAGGGTTTGTTTCCTGTTAACATTTCCATGCTGGATAAATCACACAGGAAAAAGGGCAACGTGCAGCATGTGCAGGAGAATGAGTAAGTAGACAAAACCAATTATCTAGTATTTTTCTGTTTTAGCATACGAATATCATGTATATACCAGTAGCAAGATGAAATTTAGCATATTGTTTTATTTTTGTTTCATTAACAAAATATTTTAGTTTTCCGATCTACGTACCAAGAAATACCTGAGGCTATGGATATATGATGGAAGAAAAGGGTTTCAATGATGCCTTGTTAAAGGGCCTATGACAGACCTAGCCTGCAAATCTTTTGCTCTGTATTTTTTTAAAAATTAGAGAAATTCCTACTGTGAGAAGAGAGGAGAGTGATTCTGAAGTCAAGACGGATAAAACCATGAACACAAGGTTTGAGAAGAAAGCATTGTTTGCTACAGGTGTTTATTTTCTGTTCCAATGGCAGGAAAAGCCATGGAGATGGCTCAAAAGAATGTCCTGAATCTGAACATGAAGCTGAGCAAAGGAGCAAAGAATCTACCTCTGAGGGACACCAAGTCCTGACCAGGAGCAGGGACAGCACAAACGACCCAGATGACATCACATCTAAGAAAGTATGTAGATGACATCAGAGGAACCATCAGGACAAAGTTATTGTTATTAATGTCATTATTATTATTATGGATATTTTTATGCCAATAATGTTTCACAGGTAACTTTGAGTCAATTTTTGCCAGAAAGTGAAGTCCTGGCAAATTGGCTTATTGGTCATGAATGGTGGTATTTAAATCCTGCCTGGTTTGATTCAGATCTCTCATCCCACATCCTTGTCTCCATCAGGTCACTGGGGATGGATGTGCCTGGAACAAGCACACAGAGTTGGTTAAAGATTTCCTTGCATGGCCAGCTCCTGACTCCCCATTTAACACTCAAATCTAGTCTCAAGATCTGCAAAGTTAATTACAACTCGCAGCCTAAATAAGAAATATTTTTTACTCTAAGAACTGGCAGCAGTTCCTGCACATTCCAGTGTCCAATTAATTCCATACATGCAGGAATGGGGTAGGTTGGACACAGCTGAGCTGTGACAGACATACAGAGCTCAGAAGGGCGATGGTGCAGCTTTGCAGAGTCAGGGGGGCTTTTTCCCCTGTAGAAACCTGGCCATGCTCCTTCTCAGGTAATGACAGCCTGCCTTCCTGGAGCTCCTCCTGCTGTGCACGTGGTGATGTCCTTCATTACCCCTCTGACTGTTGCTGCTGTCCATGGTGGTGGTGTCCAGCTTCCAAAGAACTGGTGGTGGTCTTCTCCCACTCCAGTCTCCAGGCCTCGTTCCATATCAACATTTCCCTATCAAACAGTCTCCTCTCCTTGCTTTGCTGCCCAGGCACTGGGACCTGCTTGAATCACCCATGCAACTGACTTTTTCTGTGCATGTAACAGATGAAATTCCAGTCAGTTCTTCCAAAGTGTGGTACAGAGCTGTGGCTGCATGCCCTAGATGTCTTAGAGCACAACTCTGTGTAATGTTGTAATCTTTATTGCAGTTCCCTTCTGACAGATTGGAGCTGAGCTAGGGATTATATTGCCCATTAAGGTGATTTGCTTTTCAGAGTTTGAGAATTAAGTGTGGCTTAGAAATACTGTATTTTTTTCCCTTTTTCTTTCCTGGAGCTTAAAATTCTTTTAGAAATCAAAAATTCGACAAAGAGGATGGGAAGCAGATCCATTCTCCAGAACTGATGTGGATTCTCTTGGGCAGTAACAGCTTTCTGGGATGGTGTTTTCCCTTTGCAGCTGGAGCTCATGGCCAGCCTGCGGGCCAGGCTGCAGAGCCTGTGGGAGGAGCGGGAGCTGGTCCTGCAGGAATCCCGGGAATGCGCCGAGCGGGGCCAGGGGCTGCAGGACACGGTGAGGGACCTGTGCAAGCCCAACGAGTTCGAGCGCTACCTGATGTTCATCGGGGACCTGGAGAAGGTCGTGAGCCTCCTGCTGTGCCTGTCCAGCCGCCTGGCCCGCGTCCAGAACGCCATGAGCAGGATGGACGGCAGCACGGACACCGAGGAGAGGGTGAGTGGGGACCAGCAGCTGTTTGGGTTGGGGGGTTCCCTTCTCTCCAGGGAAGGTGAGTGGGGACCAGCAGGTGTCTGAGTTGGTTGGTTCCCTTCTCTCCAGGGCAGGCTGTGCTCACCTCATTTGTCTGACAGTGCCCTGAGCTCATGCTGAACTGTCCCACCCAGCCTGTCCCAGGCAGTGTCTGTGCCATGGCAGGGCTGTGTCCCCATTGAGTGCAGCAGGTCTGGTGCCAGGGCTCAGTGCTGGAGCACAGGAGTGCCCAATGAGCTCTGCAGAGGGGATGGGGGGCAACAGCAGAACCCTGCGAGGGTCCAGGCCACAGAGGTGGCCTCTGGACCCTCGGGTTGCTCCCTGAGGAGTAGCCCCAAACCTGGGCTTCACAGGGCTTTTTGTGGGCTTGTTTTTCTCCACTGGTAATTTCACTGCAGTAATTACTGCCTTTGAAAACATACTTCACTGAATGGGCTTGTTCTGGAGAGCAGGATGTGTTCATAACTTGAGATAAAATGCCCTGTAGTTCAACTCATCTTTGCTGGAAAATGAGGAATTGTCTCATGTCACCAGGAAATATTTTCAAATCTGAAAAGTCTCCTTTTTGCTAGAGAAGACAAGCCAAATTTATCCCAGGAGTGATGCTTCCCTGCTGTCCTTATTGCTTTTACACACGTTTTTATTAACACCATACCTGTTGTTATCTCTCATTTGGAAATTGGAAAAGCACAGTTACAAAAACTGGGATTCTCTGGAGCTGTTCTGCTGCTGACCTGTAGCTCTGGAGGTTTATCATAGTTCACCAGCAGAACTGCACTAAAAAGGTCCTTCCATGCAGTGTGACATGGAGAGTAGGATTTACCACCTCCAAAATTTCAGTTGTGTTAATATGAATAATTTTGAGCAGTATTTCATCCAGACTTTGGCTTTGTGGTTGGCAGGGAGGGTGTTGTTTCTCTAGTGTTATATTTATACTCTTCATAGGAAATACATTTAAATCATTTATTCAAACATATGAATAACATGCCCCATAAAGACTCGATTATGTGCCATCATTTTCACAACCATCTCCTGCTCACTGCATTTGCCCTGGTGGCAGCACAAGCAGCAGTCTCAATCTTTGACTCTGTTTTTAGGGTGTCGATAGTAATGATTGATCTGTGCTGGATTTATGGACACTGTCCTGAAATGGGACATTTTCCAGCAGTCTTATTCCTGTGACAATCATTGCAGCTGAAAGAGACTTTGCTAAACGTGAAAGGTATAAAAATCCTGTAGAACAAGCAAGGCCTGACTCTTGTGGGTTGTTAACAAGCCTTTGATGAACAGTTACTCTCTACATCACAGTTATTTTATTGCACATACCTTTTAATAGAAGTCACTCTATCTTTTCAATATGTCATTGGCACTCTGGCCACATGCAATGCACAAAATACAAAGACATGTGCCTTAAAGAGCTTCTAATTGAATGAAGATGGCTACAGGATGCTTTAAAATGCCCAGAATGTGAAGTATATTGATTTTTTTTTCCTGAGGGCAGCATGGAAGAAGTGAGCCTTGCTGGGGTTTACCATGTCTTTACCTTACAAGCCACAAGAATGAGTAATTCAATCGAGAAAAAACTCAAGTGGAACACAAAGCCCACAAGAGGAAGTAATTAAATTAAATCAACTGTGGCTTCCAAATGAAGAACTAGAGCCTGCCAGGAATGCTGAGTTCTCACAGGGTGCTGCTCTGTTCTCTCACTCTGCAGCACTCGCTGAGCCAGCGGCACAAGCTCCTGTCTCGGCAGCGGGAGGACGCAAAGGACCTGAAGGAGAACCTGGATCGCAGGGAACGGGTGGTCTCTGCAATCCTGGCCAAGTACCTGACGGAGCAGCAGCTCCAGGACTATCGACACTTTGTTCAAGCCAAGACCTCCTTGCTGATCGAACAGAAGGACCTCGAAGAGCAGATTAAGTTTTTCGAAGAACAATTAGAAACTCTTGAGCAAAGTCTCCCCCTCTAACGCCCACCCCAGACCCTGGTGTTGGTGACCTGGCCCTGGAAACCCACAGGCGCCCATGGCTCAGGGCTCACGGGGTGAGTTCTTCCAACCCTGCTGGAGCCACAGCACTGGCAGGTGCTCAGATGCTCTGGGGATGCTCCAGGTACACCCTGGATGTGTATCCCACTTGGACAGGCCAGCTGACAGTGTCTCACAGTGTGCAGCAAACTGCCTTGGGGACATGACTGATAGGATGTGTTGCTCCTATTAACTTGGTGTGTATTTACCCTTCTTGTTGTCTGTCCATCTATTCCCAGATTGACACAATCTCAATAAAAGAACCATACAAATATTTGCCTCCTGTGGGTGGGTTGAATGTTTGAAATGAAAAACGATGTGGGTGCTCAGATTTGAGTGGGGGATTGCACAGAGCCCTAGGAAATGTTATGGACCATGTCGGTGAAACTCCTGCACTCACTTCTGCTGTTCAGGTGTGTGACACAGTAAAAATGCACTGCAATGCAAGAAAATAATTACTTCCTTTCTTGGTAGTTGCCATCCCTGAGTCTTTCCCGGCTCTGTGCAATCCCAGTGGGCTGTTCAGAGGAGGTCAGAAGAAGGGTGGTCCTCACTGACATCAAAGAGCCACTCCGTGACGGAGCCAGCTCACATGAACGGCTTTGGGAATCATAAACTCTGAGCTTATTCCTGCACAGTCGTTTGCAAAGTCCTTGCTGTGCTTTTGAAGTGCTTGTTTTTCAAGCAGCACCTTCAGGAGGTTGTTTTTGGGTAGTTTGCAGTTGTCAGCGTGCACAGGAAGCCTGGATGAGGGGGAAGAGCTCTGCTGCAGCGTGGGGCAGGTGGGAGCCCTGGGGGAGGTTATTTGGTTTCAGAGAGACTTTATATAAATCCCCTGGCAAACATCTTTTAAACAAATGCTGTGTGTTGAGTCAGACCAGTGACGTTGCTGTATTTAAAATCTGACTGTTTTGCTTGTTTGTAAGTATTCAGAGAGAACAATATTCCATCTGAGCTACATACCTAGACCATGAATAAGGCAGCACTAATTGAACTCAGGTTTCTTCCAGAGCCAGAATAGATGTTCGTTGTCCCAGGATGTTGGGCTTTACCAAGAAATGTTTTACTAGTGGTGTGTGTCCTGACTACAGTAAGTACCATCACCACTGACAGAAGCTGGTCCTGAGGCATCTTATCCTTTGGAATTGCATTTCACTGGGCACAAGAACTCCAGGAGCACAGAGACCAAGCTGCCATGTGTGCTGTGGTGATTGCCTTAATACCTGGGGGAAAATGGCCAGACACTGTAGATCTTGTGAGTAGATCTGCTCAGTGGTTCTCAGAAGGCCCTAAAGACAGGCTTTTAATACGTAAATCTGAAAGCTGCCTTTTGAAAATGGTCTTTAAAATAACAGAAGTGATGCTGACAGAATCAGTGGAGAATTTTAAAAAATATGAGCAATGTTAAATGAGCTGTTTGCATGGTTTGAGAAGCCTGACTCAAAGGTACAGTTTATTCTTATCATTCCTAGTTGAGGGAAAAACATCTGATTGGAAATAAATGTTGAGTAATTGAAGCTAGAGCTTGCCTTTAAGGGGAAGAATAGACTTACCCTGTTTAGCTTCTCATCTCTTTTTGGGGGTTGGTGTCATGGGAGAGTGACTGCTGCTCCTTCCACACCAGCATTCACAGGTATGCTTCAAAGAGCAACGTTAGAAATAACTTGTACTCTGCTTTCAAACAGTTCACATCTCTTTACTCCCTGTTACTCTGTTAGAACTGTGAATTCCAGGCAAAGTGGAAAATGGACACAGTGATGGCACCAGAACCTCTCTGCTGGCAAGCAGAGACCCCCTTTGTGAAGCAGGGGCAGATCTGGATTGTCAGGTGGGTTCCACTTTGATCCCGATGGTTTGTTATTGCTTTATGATGAGGGTGATGGTGATAGTTCACTCTGGGCTGCAGCCATGTGCAGCATTCCTGGCACACTAACATACTCAGACTGTGATTTTAGAAGCCCGCATCTGATGTGCAAATAGTGATTTCCCTACTCCCAGATGAATGGTGAGGAGCAGCCCTGGGCACCTCTGGGACTGGTGAAACACTCCTTGGTTGCTCAATATTGCAGTCATTACCTGCAGGATAAAGAGCCAGCCTGTTCCTAAGGATGGGCTGCATGTCCCTTCAGCAGCATGGAGACATGTGCTGGCCACAAACCCCCTCTGGGGAGGCCAGTGCACTTCTCTTGGCTGCTGGGAGACAGGACCACGTCAGGCAGGTGGTGTCCACATCCCCTGGCTGATCTTCTTGTCTTCACATCAGTTTACATTATTCACTTAAAATTTCTTCTCCATGTAGAACTTACAAACTGAACTTGTTTGTGGGGCTGGCAGGACTCTGTCCCAGTGATGGAGATGTTGAATGGTCCTGTGGCTCAGCCAGTTTTACACAGGGTAAGAGTGCCTGCTTTTGAATCCTACTGCCTTTTGCTGAAGGTTTGGTATTTAGAGCACTGATTATATCCCATACCAATAACCATTGTTTGTGGCAGCTTTTTTCCCAACTTCAAGCCAGGTGGTTTAGAAGCCAAGATGGCCAGAAATGCAGAGCATCTTTGAGTTACAACGCTGTGATCTCACACTGCTCCAGACAGGTTTTTCTGACCCTTTACCATCAGAAGACAAATGTAAGACCTGAACTGTAAGTAGCAGTAACTGGTGGTCTTCCTGGGGAAGCAAGTCTTGCAAATGTAAGGATTTTGGAAATGAAACCCTGTGCAGTGCTTGTACATTGTTACTGTTCATACTCCTCCTCACCAGCCTCCCCTCGGTGACCTGTGCAGCAGTGACACCGAGTTACCTCTGCCCAGGGCCCTGGGCAGCTCTTGGCTTCCAGGGGCTTCTGGGCCATGGCAACTCCCCCGTGCTGAGACCTGCTGAGCTACTTTGTGAGCAAAGTCAGGTGTGTGTGAGCTGGGGAATGTGAGGAATGGAGGAGCTGCCTGGCCCCTGGCCCTCTGGGAGAGCAGGCAGGGAATCCCCGCTGCTGCCCAGCCCTGCAGGGTCCTGTTGCAGCCTGTGAGCTGATACTTGAACATGCCAGGTAGGAGGTACCGTGACCCAGCACTGGAGCACTGCTACCTGAGCCCTGGGTGAGCTGAGGGGTGAATTGATGACAGCTACACCCAGGGAAGAGCCAAAGAGGAGTGCTGAGGAGGAGGAAGAGGTGGCACAGGTAAAATGCAGGAGCCTGGATCTCCCCGTGGTGGGGAAGGCTGGTGGGATTCCAGGAGATCTCTGCAGCTCCTTTGGCCACCCACACACGGGCACAGTGGGGGTAGAACAGCAGCACCTTCTGTTCTGCTGAGCAGAAGTTGGGCCTGGTTTGGGATCAGGAGATGACTTGCATGGCCTGAGGCAAAGCAGGAGCCGTGGCACCGGTGTGGGGTGGAGGAGTGGTCAGTGGAAGCAGAGCACATCCTGCCCATCTGTCTTGGCAGCAATTGAAAAGATTTTAGGCATTTTAGAATTTCATTTAACGCCCACTGCAATATGTGAGAGTCACTGCTGGATCAGGAGCCGCTGTTTCAGCCTCTTGGGTACTAAACTGAAGGATCTTAATTATTTTGTTTTAAGCCCCAGTCTCATTTTTCTTCACTGGCGTGTTATGCTGAGGAACTTTTGTGTGTAGAACTAATTAAGGAATGGAGGGCTGCAGGAGTTAATGCAAATGTACTCTGCAAAAGATCTATTTGGTGCTTGTGAGAGCTGCATTTAATAAGTAAAAAGATGTTCTCTCTGCTTTGGGAATTCATGGCAACCATCTGAATAATTTTTAAAAATAAACTCAGAGCAGAATTGCAAAACTAATCTGTGCCTGAAGGGAGCCCACGTAGACATTAAAGAATAATCAGCCTGAAGGAATCATTTTGTGACCTCTGGGGCTCACAAAAGGCTCTCGAGAAGCAGCACATGAATTTCACTGCTAAACAAAGAGAGGCATTAAAGGTTATCAGAGAGATTCTAAAATACCACATGAGCCTTGAAGCTGAGTCATCTCAGAGATAAATCCACAGAGAGAGAATATGGGCTGCACAAATAGTCTTGATTTAGAGAATAAGAGACACTTCTAAAAATATGCATGAAGAGCCAGAGGTCTTTCTAATGGGCTCAGCACATGGTGGAAGAGCAAGAACATCCCAAACTACCTCAAATGGGAACCACTTGTGAAACAATTCCTCCCGAGATCCCTGTGACAGCTCCCTGTGCGACGGCTGGTGCCTGCAGGACCCTTGTCTGGGGTGCAGCTGCTCCCTCCTGAGCACAAGGTGAGTGTCCTGCAGGGCCACAGGGGCTACTGGGGAGGCACGAGCTGCTCCAGCCGGGGCTGACCCTGCCCAGAGTGGAGCTGTCCTGCTTTGCTGCCAAGGGGGAAACTCCTGTGGGAGAGGGATGGAAGAAAGTACAACAGAAAACCCACGGTGAGAAGGTGTGCCTGTTCCACTGCAGTTTGTTACGGTGTGTGTGGGTGAGTCTGATGCTGTGACCATCTGCTTCATGCAGGAGGCACTGGGTGAGGACAACCAGGGCCGGGCCTGGCACCCCAGTACAACCTCATGTCAAAGGCTTGTGCATTTTGGGACTTGTGTTCCACTCTGTGGAAATGAAGGTTATTTGGTTTGTGTCAGCAGTGAGTCCACAGTACTTGTTGTGCTTCTCAGCTGGTCTCTTACCTTGTCTGGAGGGTCTCAAAGTGATGGGGATGGATGATTTTTCTCTTGGGAAATGGTGGTTTGGGTTTGGCTGGAAACTTGTGCTCTCAGATGAAGAAAAGGAACACTCTAAGTGGGGCAAACACAGAGCAGAATTCCTACCAAGGAAGGGAAAGCTGAACACTGGCAGCATCATTTTTGTTGTGCACATCTCTTTTTTCTTCCTCCCAGAAGGGGAAGAAGACATACTAAAGCTGTGCTAATATTGACAGTATGGATCTATTTTGCCTGGTTTGGGGTTACACACAGTATAAGGGTTTGATGTGCTTACTGACTTGCTTTGTCTTATAAATTAGTGAAACAAACCTTGGAACTGGAATAGAAATGCTCCTCATTAGGAGGCAGAGTTTTTGATCTGTGTTGTCCTGCTCTGTCCCCATTCTCCCCCTGCAGCAAACAAACACCAGGCTGTTCATGCCCAAGCTACACTCTGGCCAAGTCCTCGTTAACAACCTCTTAATTTGGGGGTCCCACAATAGCACAAATGACTGGAAAGAGCAAAAACTGCCATGTTGCCATTTTACTCAGATTAATATGCAAATCAGGAGACAAATGCATCCAA